AAATTAAATAATAATAAAATTAAATACAATTAAATAAAAAGTAAAATAAATTAAAATGCAATTATTAAAAACAAAAAATAAAATTATAAAAATAAAAATTATAAAATAAAATTAAAAATATTAAAATAAAATACAATTATAAAAAATAAAAAATGTAATAAAAAAGAAAACATGAATGTAAATTATAAAAATAAAATAATAAAAGATTATGAAACGAAAAGAAAATAAAAAATATATAAAATAAAATAATAAATAATAAAACAAAACAAAACCAATAAAATTATAAATTAAAATTATAAAAAATAAAATATTAATATGGAGTAAATTAATATGAAAAAAACAGTATCAAAGCAACTATGAAAGTGAGTGCTCACTGCTATGATGTTGACGACAACACGTATATTCAGTGTCACTGCTGTCTTTAGCACACAGGAATAACACCATCACAGACAGACAGACGGAAGGCTCTGATTGAGAGCTCATAGCGGCTGAATTGCAGTACCAGGTCTGTGTAGAGGAACCACACAGCGGCGTATGGATGTGAAGCGTGGAGAATGCCAATTACAGCTGCGCTAATGGAGCATCCATCATCCTGGCAGCTCTGTGCAGGTGTGACCAAAGACATGCTCCGCTACACCCACAAAAACAACAACAACACCACCAACGACAGCGACATCTCTCTCCATCCTCCTGCTGATAGATTCACACACTCCAGACAAACCTGACACGCCAAGAAACGCCACGCGTGAATGTGATTCACTTCAGCTGTCAGTCATCACTAGAGTACTGGTGCGTATAGTGACGCAACATTTTCACCTGCTGCACCATAAAACCTACAGACGAACATCTACAGACCAGAAGATCATAGAGACGTGAGGGACGACCTGGAGCTTTAAGAAACCATAGTACCCTCACAGACATGATGTGAGTCCAACTGATTCAGATGATTCTGATGTGGTTCAGTCTGATCGTATCACGGGGAGTCACATGAGTTTACATTTACATTTAGACATTTAGCAGATGCTTTTATCCAAAGCGACTTACAAATGAGGACAATGGATTGTGCACCTGCTGCACACACACTCATGTGGTCTGGTATAATTAGAAGCGTGTTGGGCCGCACCCTGAACCGCACGGATCTCCTGTCACTGACACACTCTGTTATTAGGATGTTCTGGGCTTTTCTGCAGGTTTGAGTGAATCTGAGTTAATGTGACGTGACAGAGACCTGAACTCATCACACACTCGCTGTCTGCAGGCCAACTTCCTCCTCAGAAGGTCGAGGATGACACAACTTCCCCTCGGTTCTGGTTTTCCTTCTCTTTGACTGTCCGTCACACAGAAGATCATCTGAGTATCTCAAACTACAGTAGCATACAATATACAGAAGAGAACGGTCAAATAAAAGTCCAAAATGAACACACTCCAAACACCAAACCCACATAAAAATTTGTTCTGATTCTCACTGTATACACAAAAAAAATTCCATTGTCAAATATTTAAAAATTTATTTATAAATACAAAATGTGTTTATATTTATAAATATTGTAAGATAAAAATATATGTAGAAATATAAAAACGGACATAAAATATATAAAAAATATTTAAATTTAA